TTCAGGGGCACGTGGAGAAGAGGGTTTCGCGCGTATGCCGGACGATCCCTCGCGTCCAGTCGCAAGCGGGAATTTAGCAGAGCGTTCGTCTCGAAGAAGATTCTACGAAGAATTCTTTCCGATGCGTACGGATCGCAGAAGCATCGATCGAATCGTTAAAACGACGCATCGTTGTAAATATTTCAATCGTCATCGTCCGATCTGTTCGACGTTCGCGATACCTCCTCTACACCCCGCAGCCGCATGCGATAGCGTGCACGCGGTTCGCGGAGGTTACCCGGATGCGTTCGGATGCATCTTCCATTATGTTAAGCTTCGATGTACACGATTGCCATTCAAAAGAAACGGATACCGTTATTAATTTCTGTTTTAGCCGGCACCATCCTCCCGCGATCAATCCGCCTGCACGTGAGAATCCTTCGCGCGAGGATCCTCCAGGGCTCCCAGAGCTCTCGGTCGCAATTAATACAGCGAATCGCGATTAATAATCGTATCGTTGAACGCGGGTCGCTGCCTCGATAGCGTCGCGCTTCGATCCCGCAACCGTAGATCCAGCTGTACGATCCCAGGGATCTCCAAAAAGAGGATCGCGATAGAAAAGATTCGAAAAATTCTCGAATTACGAGGCCGGTCCAAGACTCCCGGCCGTTCCGTCGGCTACTATTAGCGCCCGCTGCTCGATCTCGTTCCTCTTCTAGGCGCGAAAGAAACCAACAATAGTTTTTATCGCGCCGCAAAAAAAAGCATCCCGGCACGGTGTTCGAGTGTTCCAGGCGCGCCTAGGCGGCTCGGTGAGAATCTTTAGGGTCTTCTCGAGACATTCCGGCAGACTTCTCTTCCCGTCCTCGTCCTCTTCGTCTCCTCTCTCTCTCTCTCTCTCTTCTGGCGTTCCCCTCGTTCCACCATCTTGCTCTTCTCTCCGGTGGCGGACAAGTGCGTGCAATGCACAGCTCGTAACTCGTTGCTAGGAGGTTTTGCAACACGTTACGCCGCACCGTGCCAGCCCGGTTCGATAACCACGCGACCAACAGGTCTTTTACCGGAAACAACCTCCGGGGACCGTACGTCCAACGAAGGGGAAAATCCCTCGCGACCGGGACCACGGATATCTTCTAAAAGGAGAATACGAGCGGACGCAAGGTCCCGGGATTCACCTTAATAGCGCTTAACAGCGCAGCTTTCCCTCGTTAGCGTACCGCCATGGCGCGTCTAATGATAGTCTTCTTTGTCACCGCCCTCCGAGTCGCCAGCCAACAGAAAACGATGAGTCCGTTGCTCGATAGCGTCTCGCCTATCTTGCAGGCGAGACTCCGTAGAAAGTTGATCCCGTTTTCGTAGCGATTTTCAAGGGTGTTTCGTCGAAGGGCGGTCGGCACCCCGAATCGCGGAGGCGCTGCCGTGTCCGAATGTTAATGACGGTAACTGTATATACGCGCCATCCTTTCCCGCGTTTCCAAATTGATTAGTATTACCGACGCGCAACGACTTCAATTAATCGGATTAATATCGCGTTGCACGCGCGCGCGCGCCTCATAATCCCGATAGTCTCGGAAGGATACGCTGAGAAGCGTTCTCAGCGTAATTAGCAAGTCTGGCCGATCCGTTGAACGCTTTAATAAGTTGTCTCATCAGGATATCTCCGTTCTGTATCGTGCTCGTTATCGTCGGTCGTCCGTCTCTCCCGTTTCTTTTCTCTCTAGCCGGCGAATGCCCTGCAATTACGGCATTGTCGCAGATCGTGACGAACCGAACACGAGCCGAGGCGACGGATCATCGGCTTATTATCGCTTGTTAGCGGCCCGCCGCAAGGACCGCCGCGAGCCGCGAGCCGCCTGGAAGACGAGGCATTCGCAAACCAAGGACAAGCGTTCGTTACGGTTTTCCAGAGGGGGCGCAAGGATCCGTTCGTTCTGCCTTGGCGCACAAAGGACCTCGGAAGTCGCGTACAAAACGAAACGAGCCGGAGAAAAACAGAGACCGGTTGCTCGCTCGCTCGCTCGCCTGCTTGCGCGTCGTTGTAAATTACGAGCATCCTTGGAAACCTCCGAACAGATTATTTACGCAGAGAAATTCGGAGCAGAGACTCCCGCCCCGTGGGTGGTGCACCAATTTCTTTTAGCCTTACAATGAGGCCCGGGCCGGCTATCGACTATCTAGCCCCGCGGGTCGCCACGCGGGTCGTGCCGAACTACAAGGAAAATATCGAATTTCGTTGACCAGCTCTCTCTCTCGCTCTCGCTCTCTCTTCTTATCTACCGAAGAAAGAGCCATTCTATCCGATTCGCTAGCAACATCGAATGCACATTCGGTGAACTCGATATGATACACGGCGAGACGGCGAGCCGAAATGTTTATGTATACTATGTTTGCGTAGCGCGGCGAACGCAGCTATCCAAACGATTTCGAAGCGAATCCGAGCGGAGAAAAAGCGATCGTCGCGCGTAATATTTTATTATAGAATCGCGTTAAGAGACATTAAAGGACGACGATCAAGCGGTTGGTTCCGTACAAAAGAGTCCAGCTGCATGAATAAAAATAAAATAAATATCGAATCGACGGAGAGGCTCTCGGAGGAACGGGGGGAAAAAATGCGACGGGCTTTCCAAGGTAATTCACCTCGCGAAGACCGTGCGCGTTCACGGAGATGCGTGTCCATTACGCATTCGGTCGACGTTCCTTCCGGGAAAAGGTTCGAAAGAACAAGAAAATGAGAGAAAAACGAAGAAGAAACGTTTCGAGGAGCGGTTTTATTCGTAGCTGACCCGTTCTCGTGGCCCGTTTCACGAGCCCATCGTTGGCCTACGTGCGAACACTTCGAATTTTCGTATTATCCGAACGTCGCGTGGATCGAACGGAGAAAGAGATATCCTCGAGGATCGAGCGTTATGGCACTCTTATCGGCCGAGGCCGTGGTCTTGGCGAGGAAAAATGGAAGAAAATGCAAAAAGCGCGCGCAGCAGGGTGTACCCATGCGGTTCGAATATTTTCGAATAACTTCGAATAATTTCGAATACGCGTACACTTGCTCGCATTGCGTGCTCCGCTCGGTCGGCTAACGCGTAACATTATACAATTTCCTCGTTACGATAATCACTTCCGACACGTTAGTTACACATCGGTTCGCGAACCAACGACTGCTAGCCGGGCTTTACCGCAATTTTCATAAACCGGCATTTGGAATTACCGCAGACCAATTATCGTTCATCAACGTTCCACCGTCGGACGACAACGCGTTTAGCCGTTTAAAACGCCAATTTCTGGCGGGAAACATTTACGATACACAGAATGCGATCAGCATTTTGTTTAAACACTTTCGGTAATTCGTCGTTGGTATGTTTCGAACGCAAGTGGAAATTGTTCCGCCTGAAGATTTCGAGATTCGATCGAAATTTGTAAAAGACGCTTTGAATTGCGATTGCCAATATGGCGGCTGGGGATCGACGAAATTGGCGCGCATTCGTAACCCTATGAACTATTTACAGCGTAACTGCTACACGAAGATTTCAAAGTATCGACGTTCTATGTGTTTAGATTGTAAACTAAACGATAAGCTATGTTCTTTGCATCGATCTCTGATTGTTAAATAATAATAAATAAAGAGCCGAACAGTCGCCTCGAAGGTTTCTGCGACTTCTCTAATTTACAGGTTAAATCAGCTCGACGGTTGAGCAAGGCGAAGTTTGATTCGATTTCGTGTGCTCTCCCAGCAAACGAGAACAACAAGATTCGAATCTTGCTCGCCTTTTGTTGATACAATCAAACGGAAACATCAAGTACAAACAATTGTTACGGGCTTCTATAGATATAGTACATACCTGTACGCCTGCTCCCTGCTGAACTTCCGTGCGGTTCGTTTGACACTGACACCGGATTTGCAATACAAATTAACGAAGTATGTTAATCGCTACACTCGTACAACAACAGTCTAAACTTTGAGCAAATAGAGAACATTGAACGTAACGATGGGACACTCGCGACGCGTAATGCGTAATATGTAATTCAAAATACGCAGCGGCCGACTAAATGAACCGGAAGTACGCGCAGCTTCGGTATCGCCATCTGAAAAAAAACTTACGAAATCAAATCAATGTCCGTTATGTCGTAAGTCGAATTTCCACTAATTAACAATCTAGCGAATCGATGGTTTGACTATTTAAACTTTGAATTTAATTGTTTCAATTTTGACTGCGTCGTATTCTTAATCCTAATTAAACTAGTAAACAGAAAACTGAGAGATTAGGTTCATCTCGAAAAAAAAAATGCACAATTTGGGAAGAGAAGAACGATTATTCGAGCCGTGCACCTAGTATTTATAATTAGTGACAATCGGTAACTATAAAAACGAACCGCGAGGCTCGAATAACCGTATCTCCTCTACCCAAATCGTCCATTTTTGTGTTCGTACTAATTGAATCATTTCAAGGCGTCTTTGTTTACCTGATCGTGCGTCGTGCCGGTATTCCTGCCGCAACCAAGATCACTGAATATGCAAATGTAAGATCAAAATGGATATGTGCACGTCGCGTCGATAACGACGATCCACATACGTCTCTCGATCACCTTTCATTCAGACTTCTTACTTCGATAGCTGTGGGATGGCGCTACACCGTTCGTTTAACGATCGTTTGCTACACGTTACATAGTTTCTGCTACACACATGGTACGCATGCTGCACGGTGGCGGTAAACAGGATAGATCGCAATTGATTCATCGGTGTTTTACTGGTCATTATACATTGATTTGTCGCGGTAAGATGGAATCGGAAGAAACAAGCAGGCCCGAGTGTGTCGGCGACTCGTTAGATTTCTCGAAGTACGCATTCGGCAAATTTCAAGAAACCACCAATTGGGTAGAATGCGAATCGAGAAGTTATCCGAATCGAACGTATTTTTTTAACTTGAGGTCACTTTGTTCCACTTGGACGAGACCGGTGTCGCGTCATATCAAGCTTCAACGTTTTCCCAATGTTGTAAGTAAACACTCTATACATACTTTTTAATCTAAATATTTTGTATTTATACTCGTGGTGTCGTCGTGACCTCGCGGCGACGATCGTCTGTCAAATAAAAAAACACAAACCAAGCATAATAAAGTGAACACAATGTATTATAGTCTCATGTCAGTAGGTATGTATTGCTTCGTTTGTTCTATTATTTGTGGACCGAAACACACTAGCGTATATACAGTGTATATGTACACGAAACACGATAGGATTTCAGCGAGCCTGAAACTGTCCGCTAATATGTTTCGGTTCTAAGCCTGTAGCAAGGCGATAATAATTTTGAATGCACGCGTGCATTGTACATTACTTACGGAACTGTATTTCTGCAGAAATTACAAAATCAGATTGTCACAGACGACATAGACAACCAACCTATTATGATCGTATCATCGGAAAGCGAAGATGACGGGAAATCGAACTTTCGGAAATCGAAGAAAGAGATTTTTGCTTGGCTGTATCACGGTGTTGATATACACGATCGGATCAACGACGATCAAACTAATTGTACAAACAGTTTGGTCCCAGATACCATGAACGAACAAGATTCACTTTTGGCCAATGAATCAGCATTCTATGAAATTGGGTACCATTTCGTAGCGAGCAACGACTGCGACAAAATTCAAATATCCAAGGCTGCACTGGAGGATGTCACAAACACGTTAGATTTCCTCGAAGTGAATTTTTCTACTTCGGACAATGCGACAGAGATCGTGGGAAACAATCGACAACCTACAGCAGACGACAACAACGATGACTCTTCGATCGTCGAGAAATGCATCGCGTACTCCACCTCTTCGTCCGAAGGTTGCGGATCCAGGGAACTCGTTGAGAACTATTATGCTCCTCGCTTGCAAAAAATTAGAAGCAAACATTTGTTGAAAGAGAAGCGTGGAACCAAAAGAAAAGGAGGGGTATCGCAGGTGAAACGGATCCGAAAGAAACCAAGGAAAATCGTTTCCGGAATGTGCGGCACGACAACGATTAATCGCGACCCTCTCGAACTGAATATGCCGCCTGACGTTAAGGTGACGAATCTTAGCGACAGCAGCACAAGTACCTTCATATGTCGGAACGCGACACCCTCTGTTCCCGCTAAAACTCGGTTTCCCGACATCGTTATAGGCGAGGTCAACCTTTCGAGCGACTCGAGCTCTTCCTCCAGCTGCACTTCTTGCAGTTCGTGCTCTACGTCTTCCGATTCGAGCGAAACTACGAGCGAATCTACGAGCGGTATTGTCTCGAAAACCATCGAGAGATGAAAAATCTAATTGTCCTTCTATTTTAGAGAGAATAGTTGGAAAGAACATGATTATATTTTAATACAAAAACAACTTTGTACCTACTAAAAATCGTTTGATTAGCAGAAATTCCCATTGCGAAACGAAGAAATGTCAAAATGGCAGTAAAGCAACTGGCGCGGCTTCGAGCAACGTTTCTGCGCGAAAACGAAGTTTCGCGAAACCAGTTCCTTTGATTTTTCCTGAAACCGGCTCGTTTAAATAAATGCTGCGGATCATTCGTCGATGAAAGACGAATGGGGCAGACGAAAATCATCCTTTGCCTGTGCAGAGCACGTGCTGCGCCGCTCAAAGGCATTATTGGTACTTTGCAGGCAAGCTCAGTAAGGTAGGAGTGCCAGAGCGGAGGGCATTCAGCGAATACAGGTGCAACGGTGCGCCTTAAAGCCAAGTTTCCACGCATCTAACCGTTCTTCGATTCCATAAACCGTAAGAGAACTAAACTCGTTCACGATTACTCGAAAACTTGACGAGCTCTTATGTGGGTCACAGGACAATAGTCAGTCCTTCCCATTGTTCCGTGCAAGCTGTTGGCTCCGTGTGTTTTTCTATTTTCAAAACAGGGGTGGATCGAATTAGGAAAATGATAAACCATTTTTCGTAGGGTCCAGAATACTTTCGTAGTTTCTACGATGGTCGCCGTTGGGTACTCTATCCGCTGACGAAGGTAACAAGAAGGGGGGTCTGCGTAGGCAGGTTTCTGCATTTCGATTTCCTTCTGGCGCGATGCAGCGAGATTCCGGCAAAAATCACGGCCGGTTTGCAGCTCGGCATATGGCAGACGTTACCTCGGGACGCGCAGCCGGTGCACCGTACCGCGTGACTATTATTCGCGTCGCCATTAACGAATCACACGGTGCTCAAAGCGTAACGGCCACGGACGGAGGACGAAGCCGGAACTACCGTCAGGAATTTGTCTTCGTCGTCTCCCCGGCTACCCCGTTCGAGGCTGCTTCGTCTCTAGGGACCAAGACCGGCGCATTGAACGGTTCCACGTAACTGCATCGTATGTGGCATCGGCACAATTAATCGCGCGTGCGATCTTTTATTGTCGTTAAGGACGTTGGCTTAAAGGCTTATAACGCGACGCGTTCGTAGCACTTCCATTCGCTGGCCGAAGCGTGCCCGAGGATCAAGGATGCGGAACGGGCCAGCAGACGGTGAACTCGCCGTATCGTCTACCGATAAACCATCGGGACATAATCGATTGGCAAAGGTCAGGGTGTGCTTCGAACACTGGTCCTGCCGGCCTTTCGACCGAGATCTTCTTCAAACCGAATGCTTCCTACCGGGTTGCTGATCAAGCTCTTTCCCGCTCGGTGGGGCCTTCAGCTATGCAGACTGCGGACAGATTGTTCTTTTACTTCTGTAATTATTTTCTGGTTCCTGGTATCGATAACAAAACTGTATTTGCTTGTTACAAAGTAGGCAAGGGCATGTTCCGAAGGTTGGAGATTACTCGAAGAGCCTTAAATCCCCGTCATTGGCTACGTAATTTGTCAGCGTATAACGACTCGGAGGGGTAACCGAGACACGGCTGGGTAGTAGATAGAGATCGACGCGCTGGCCGTGAACTTTGCACCGTGAGAAGACTTTTCTTCGCTTAACAAGTCGCGCATCGAAGTTCCCGCGCCTCCAGACAATGAATCGTTCCTTCCATGCGGTGAATAACCATAGCCGTTTCCAGGATTCATAATGAGAAGGGAAGCCCCATGGTTTCGCGATCTTCTATTCTACGGGATCTACGGCAGGGCCTTCCCATAGGGTTTCGAACAACAAGTACACCATAGTTTATCTTTCTGACTCGTCGATTTCTTTTCAAAGCCTTTGTTTTTCGGTGCTACCTTCGAGTAATATATCAGGAATTTTATAATATTGAAAAATCAGCTAGAAAATAGAGAATGTGATCATTCGTTTCGATGATCGATATCGAGTAATTAAAAATATGGTATACTTTCTTGTTACGGGACATTATCATATCTATGTAAACGATATCTTGGATATATTTAAATTTAAAAAATTATTACTAACAGAAGTTGCCAAATTATGAGAAAAATATAACTAGGTAATAATTTTAATCTTCTTGAAGGTATCTTCACTTCGTTATTGTGGTCAACCTGCGTTCATGATAACGGCAACTTCACGGTAGCTTATTGTATACACGTGATATACAACCTAACCTCGACTTTTTAAAGCTACACTATGGGTCGCCGTAAAAAGGTTTGTATTCGCCTAAAGTTTAAATGAATTCGAATCTTTTAAGTATGGCTAGGATTAAGACTAATGAATATAAACAAACATTACACAGGGTCGATGTGTAAAAAAAAATAAACATATTAATCTGGAAGAAAATCCAGATTTGGTAAAGGCACCGCATTCGTTTGTTATTCATCGCGGTTTACCCGGAGAGAACATAGTGGAGCTCACTCGGGATTTCCGTAAAATTATGGAGCCATTTACAGCTGCATCGTTAAAAGAAAGGAAGCGAAACACTATCAAAGACTTTTTGTCTGTTTCGAGCCTGCTTCATGTTACGCACATGTGTATTTTCACGAGAGCAGAACAAGGAATGTATTTTAAACTATGCAGGTATAAACACTATTTGTATCGATTATACGAAATACTGTAGCACGGCTAATGGATAAACTATGTTACAGATTACCAAGAGGACCGACTCTATCGTTTAAAGTACACAGCTTCTCTCTAGCACGCGATGTGGTATCTGTGTTGAAAAAACAAATGGTCTTCGAAGAACTTTTCAAAAGTTCTCCGCTAGTAGTATTAAACAATTTTAGTGGAGAAGGTATGCAATTGAAGCTTATCGCTTCTATGTTTCAAAATATGTTCCCTACAATAAATTTAACTTCGGTAAGTCTAAGAAATTTATCTGAACCAAATTCGTTATTAAGGTAATATCTATTTTCAAATGTTTTAGGTAAATTTAAGTACAATTCGCAGATGTTTGTGCTTGAATTATAATCCAACATCGAAAACAATCGATCTCAGACATTACGCTATCAGAGTTGTGCCTGTTGGTCTATCGAAAGGTGTTAAGAAGATAGTACAAGCTAAGATACCAAATTTGTCCAAATGCAATGATTTTTCTGAGTTTTTGACAAAAGGAACCGTTTCCGAAAGCGAAGGTGAAGACGATCCTGCAGACCAGGTCACGCTACCGCAAACACTGTCTTCCCGTGGTAATCACGCGAGTAATACAAGTGCAATTAGATTGTCCGAGCTAGGTCCCAGATTAACGTTAGAGGTAGGTGATCTATTTTCGTCGACGATTGGCAGTTAGCGCTCGTACTGATAAAAATTGTTCTAGTTAATTAAAATTGAAGACGGACTTTTGGATGGTGAAGTACTTTTCCACGAATATGTTCACAAGTCGGAAGAAGAAAGATTGCTGATAAAGAAGAAACGAGAAGAAAGGAAGCAGTTGAAAGACAAGAGGAAAAAGATTCAAGAACAAAACAAAAGACGAAAAGATAAAGAGAAGCAAGAACACAAAGAGAAATCGCTAAAAGGAATACAGAAGAAGAAAGAAAGTGAAATATTATTGCAGAAGCTTGCAAAGGAACCGGTTGAAGAGAACACGGTGGAAGAGGACGATGATGCTCAGTACTATCGTGATGAAGTAGGAGAAGAACCAGATAAAGGTGATTGTTTGACATTGTGGCTTTCGATTAGTCGAATTAACCAAGCTTATTAATAAACTCACTTTTTCTTGTAGATCTCTTTCAGAAAAAAGTTGGCGAGAAGAGGCCGAAAAAATTCGCACCTAAATATAAAACGAAAAAAGCAAAGCCTAACGAATCGTGAGTTACTTTAACACTTTCACGTCAATTACATGAAATAATTTTGTACATTACATAGCAATATACTGAGTAAAATATTTTTTAATAACAATAATTTTATACACTACGTCTATAAAAACTATACCAATTTTATTTATCACATATTGACTAGTGCACTGTATAATTTTTAAAATAAATTATGTTTGCTCGCGCGTTGCGTGGCTGATACATTTTTTATTATGTTCCATTACAGATGTTTCATTTTCATTTGAATTTGAACCTCCTGTCATCTGATTGGTTGCTTCGGGCATAGATTTTCTATGAATGAGGTAGGCAAACACGCAAAGAGATTAGGCAAATACGCAAGTGCCATCTATAGAATAACATATAACATAATAGCCATTGTGCAGTCACCTTAATATTTCGTAAATGTCAACCCACCTTTTTATTTTTAAATTCCGAAAAAGATCAATCTCCGATGCGCATATTCATATTGGCGACCCGCGTTCACTATCAGTAAGTCAAACGATCTTTAATTATTTTCTTCATCGCTACATTAATTTTGATAAAGTGTCAGTGATTGATTTCGACAGAGCAATCATTTATTTTCGTCATAAATTAAGTTGAAAAGTAAAGGTTGGCTACACGTAGCAAATTACTCTTTAAGTTTTAGCACAAGCTAAAAGAAACATCGATTTAAATTTATTAGAATTATTTTCAGGGAATCAATCACAAAATAATTTGAAATTTGGTACTCGGTATTTAGTATTGGTTACGCATTATACTGACAATTCGATCACTCCAGATTCGGAACATGATAGATCTGTCATTCGGTTGTCGCGCGGACTCGATTGTGCGCTTGTGTACGTGGTTCGCCAATCGCCAATAACGTAATTGACCGTACCATAACACATCTGTTTCCATCTGGTGGCCTGATCTCGACTCCCTCATCCGATACACCTAAAATTTCCGAATTAGAAAGTGTAACATAATGACACCTTTACAATTGGTTGTTTAACGTTTCTCGACAGGTACACAGAAGATAAAGACAAGAGGAAAGCTTTTTAACCTAATTTATTATACCGAATCTTGTCCCCAGTTCTCGATGACTGTATGTACGTGTAGTTCTTGTTCGGCGAATTCAGAGCAAAGTGTATCTCGACAACTGTCATTGCGATCGACAAACAAGAAAGTCCCACGATCGAAGCATTTGTTTCTATGACACATATTTCGTGGGAATCAGTGAATAAGTCAAAACTTCTGTTTGCATTGATGAAAGTACTCCATTCGATCCGTAACTGGTATGTATCTTTGTTACAGTTTTTTCACGATTCGATAACACGTTTAGACACACGAGCACTCGTGATAATTTTGTTTCACCGTTGTTAGCTGATGATCGCGTGCTCCATATTAACGAACAATAGCGCGAATCAGAAGTATCAATTGTCGATTCCATTGTTAACATCCAATAGTTTATTCTCGTGTATTTTTCTTATTTGTTGGATAACGATAGATAGACAAATAGGACTTACTTTTACACGATAATAGTTAAAACGTCCATGTTTCAAAACGTTTATTTATACCCTCATCTATTCTGTATTTTTATTTTACAGGAGAAAATGGAGGCAGTCGACACAAAGGAACCGGCAGAAGATAATTACCAACTCGGTGAAATAAATACAGGTATTCGAATGTCCTTCGAACGTCACGATCTTAAGGCTGTTTAATTTCTATAAAAATATTCATGTTTCAGGACAAATAAACAGGACAACCATAGCAAGCGAAGAAGCATTATCGACAAAAATTAGGTGAGTGCCTTTCTGCTATTGGCATTTATACACTGAAACAGAATCGAAAAATTCAAAGCTGAACGACTGGCTTCAAAGCTTTGCTTTATACTTCTTAGGTAATCCAAGGTCTAAGCAATCTATTACATACAGTAATCGGCAAGAATGTAACAATAGGTAGTATCTACATACATCATTTTATCTGCAAATGGACAGGCGATCGAGTATTAAATTTAAATGTTTATATACACTGGGTATCTCACGGATACGTCAATCTAGATTTACATTATTATCATTATTATTCTTATTATTATTATTAACGATTTTTTAACAATATTCAAATTAAGATATTTGGAGTATAGTAATTAGATGATTCGAGCAACCGAGCCACCCCGTATGTACATATGCGTACAAAGTATCGCCGGTATTGCTATCGTTTATCGGTAATTACAGCGCTATCGGAAAACAGCGAAGGTCGGATGGCTTTTTCCGAAGAATTTGAACTCACCGTTTCTACATATTGTAAGTTGGAACGTTTCCGACTTCGCCTAGTAAACGAGGATATTTGTTATCGAAAGCGCAACCGGAGCTGCCTACCGAAGAATGGTGTTTATTAATTAACACGGTCGCGTTAACACTTGCGTGCAACAGCGGAGACATCGCACTCGAATCGAACGGAACAAGAGCGCGTAAATATATATTCGATTCGAATCGAATGCAGGACAGAAATTCTCGTTCGTTCTCGTGTTTTGAAAATCGTGCGCCCACGCTCGTCGACACACGTCGTCGCACCGGGAGAAGAACGTGGAGAACAGAGGAACGTTATCGGTCGATCAATCGGCATTTCAAACAACGGCCGTATTTACTAATCAAACAAATGGGAGCTAGATCGACTTCCGAAATACGACCTTCCTATTGATCGTTGGTGCCGGGCGACTGTGCTCCCTCAAATTCTTATTGAAGCGCAGTGCGCACGGTTCGCGCGATTTTCTATCCTGTTCGTTTTTTATCTTGTGTCGTAATACAGTTGCTCGTGATAGCGTAAACACTCGTTTTCGCGTTTATGCCATCGGCATTTTCGCCGTGTCGATCACTCGACGTTTGTAAATCGCGGACGTTCCACCGAAGAACAAGATGATATTTTCGACTTTCTATAAAACATATTTTAACCGGTCGTAAATGCGTCGAGTTGCTTTTTGATGCACTTTCCGAGATACGTTCGCGATTGTAAACGAAAACACGTAGCGCGCGTTCAGATCTCCGAAAACTATGTACGCGAAACCGGTTCGCAAGATGCAGCAATTCTACTCCGCTTGGAAGTACAAACTGCTGACTCCTACACGAAACTTCGGGTAAGTTCATTTCCGAAAAAGCTTTTGTTCACGACGACGAGCCGTCGAAGCGTTTTCACGAAAATCCTGTCTCGTTTATTGCTCTATACGTGTACACGTATGCATACATGCACGTGTAACACGCTTAACTGGAGCAGTCCTTTCTCCCTCGTCTACGCGTACCGTTCGAAAGCGTTCTCTTCGGTGTAACTAGTCCCGAGGAGACCGATTTCCGCGACCAGTTGCCACTGGTTCAACGTGTCGCGGGTTCCGTTTTGCTCTTTCGAGTCTCCTTGTGCCACGAATTATTCCATGGTCGTGCCTACGAACAATTATAGTGCCTTACACAAGACGGAGGAAGAGGAGATTCCGTCGAGTCATGATACCGGTTAACGGCAGTTTCTCGTAACGATGTGTTCGTCGATTGCCGAAAAATATGGTTTCACATAGATATACCGCTATATATAGATCGCGAGAATCAACAGGTTGTTTGAACTTTTACAGAGAAAGACCGGCATTCGTGATAGACATCTTTCGAATAGACCCTTCGATTTCCGAGGGAGAACAATGGGAAACAAAAATTTGCCACGTCGCGCGTCTCAGAGATACGAAAGAATAGAGTAAACAAAGCCAGCCTCTGTCGAGTTTATTGAAACACGAGCAGGAAAGTTGACTCCGTTTCGGAGGTCCGATAAGGAGGACTCGATCCATGAAGTTTGCGTGTCGCGCGTTTGCACAGTGGTACTGTCCCCTGTTCTCTTCGCGACATTGATCTCGTCGAGATAACGAGCCGATGTCGAAGAACTCTGCCCGTGAAATTTTATCCGACGATGGATCGAACTAAGATCACGAACTACGTTCTGCCGATCGTGCACCGTGCGAGATCCGCGGGTCGAAATCTGCTAAATATTCGCGGAGGAGCCTCTTCTTGGCCGCGGACTCGCAGCAACATCGATTACGAGGGCCGCAGAAAACTGATCGGGTTAGTGTTCATCCCCTAAACTGCGAAAAAGGTGTCTAGAAAGACCTTCGATCCGAGAACTTCGGTCGGAAGAAAACCACGCGTCTCCAATGAAAGTGCCGAGGGTAGAAAGTGTGACCATTCGTTGAATCTTCATTTCTCTTTTCGCCGTACGGTGTATCACGGACAGGTGTCCCCGTTTCCTCGAAGATTCAAGGGCAAGATCGAGCGTACGCGCACTCGACTGTAGTAGGATCGCTGAAATAGCTCGAGGTTCCACGAACGACCAATTGAAAGATTGGAATTCCGTAATATTTCCGTAGCGAAAGTGTGTTCCCGAGCGTGGAGAATCCAGATTAGACTAGATCGATTCAAAAAGAGAGCTGTGCGCGAGACCGGCGAGCGTTCTCGCGTATCGCCAGACGAAATGTTCGAGTTTCGTGTGCTATCGAATCGGTGCGCAAGAAAACCAGCCGAACCGGCCGCTAACCGATAGACGATTACAGGAATTATCAGTCTGCCGCCGATATCAATTCGAGCACACGGTTCGCGTCGCGTCACGATCGCCCCTCTTCGCCGATCGCGGGACCCGCTATCGATTCGCTTTTCGAAATATCTTCGATCGTCACGGCTCCATTTACGTATCCGTGCATCGCCGGAGCTTTTTTCACCTGGTTACGTGCCCGATAACGAGGCGAACAAGCCCCCTGCGACCTGCGACGCGTCATCTTCGTCGTTATCGTTATCAATTACGTCAGCAGAAAGATCGTCGACGACTTCCTAGACGCCTGGCGGTGGTCCACGATGTACGATCTCTCGTGATCCACGGTTTCCACGATCTCGCGAGTCTTCGCGCGACTATCGCGTCCGAAATACCTCCCCCGTCGAAGGCACCCCTCTTCTTGCCGTCTTCCCGACGCGACGCGGGCGCGCGAAAGCCTGGCAACGGGACTCGATTTAAGGGTGTCGGATAGTCGGTTGTGGTGCTCGTAGCCTGGATGATCGTCGGAACAGCGATTCATCCGTCGATTTCATAACTAGATCGAACTATTACGGATTTCGAAGCTTCGCTAGAATTTCTCTAGAATGTTCGACGACGATAGACAACCTTTTATAGACAAATGGTACGTGACAATGGATTTGTATGCAACTTTTCGACGCGGTTCGTTCTCTCGATTCATTTTGCAGCTTTTCTTTTTATCGTTGAACGTGGCGCGATCCTACTTGACCTCGAGTATTACGCGCTGCAGCTACTTATGTGCATCGAACATCTTCCTATTATGTTCTTCGAAAATATACATAGAACCACCGTGAATGCGCATAGCAGAATGTCGCCGTAATATCGAAAAAATAGAAATAGTACAGCATAGTGTAAGACGTAAGGCAAAGGATAATCTATGGATAATTCGTGCCTCGCGCATACCTTCGATTTTATTTCCTATACTTCGGAGCTCGGGGGATCTATCGCCGCCGTGAACGTACCAGTGCTTCGACAATTATTGTCCTCGGCAGCTAATGCCGCAATAACGCGTAGTTAACGTCGAATCGACGAATCGTGAAAAATTCTATAGACCCATAAAACGACGATAAGCCGTTTTACAACGATCGCGACATCGGCAACGAATGCGTACGTTATATAAGCACGATAAATTCAAAAACATTTTCCCCGCGCGATAAGGCCGGGTGAGCGGATGGTTTTTATGCTAACGGGAAACGGAGCGGAAGAAACAAGTAGCGTTGCACGCGCGGTCATAATCTCGGTAGTTTGTTTAACTGGCCGTCTAGGTCGCGCGCGCCCGATCGCATTTTCAAGTTTTGAACAGATAACGCGAATTTATAGCAAAACCAACGTTCGAGTCGACGAAAGATCGAGCGTACGCGTTTCCTCGATCGTTCTCTCTCGTTCTCGAGCATCGTCCCGTCTAGGTCACCTAATCGTTCGTCCGATAACGATTTTAATAATTTTTTGTTACAAACGACCGACCCGATTATCGATGTTCATTGTTCAGGGATGACGACGACGAGGACGCCGGATTCGAGGGCACGACGCATTTGGTCCGCGTGCCCCGCTCCCACGGAGCCGCGGATTCCTCGAATACCGCCACGGTCAGGATTAATATCGAGGGCATGCGATGTCAGAGCTGCGTGAGGAACATCGAGGCAACGGTAGGCGGCAGACCCGAGGTCCTGAAGATAAGGGTGGTGCTGGGGGAGAAGGCCGGGTACATCGATTACAAGCCCGACGAGATCACTGCCGCCGACCTGGTCCAAGCTGTAGAGGATATGGGGTTCGTTGCATCCCTCGGCAACGATCGGACCAACCCTTTGGACCAGTCCAAAGCTGACAACGAGCCGGAACCTTCGGTCAACGTGTGCAACATACACGTCGATGGCATGACTTGTATGTCCTGCGTGAAGACCATCACGAGTAAGTCGCAGCTTCCTGAAACACAATGCTTTCTTTAACATAACCCGATACACTTCGTGCCTGTTTTCATTCGTTCCCCTTGTCGTTTTCTAGGCGTCTTGTCGGAACAGCCCGGGATAAGCGAAGCGAACGTCAGTTTGGAGAACAAAGAAGCAAAGGTGGTCTACAATGGGAAGGATCTAACAGCGGAGAAAATAGCGGAGAGAATAGAACAAATGGGCTTCGACGCATTCGTGAAGGAGGTGAACGGCAAGATTCGCGCCACGGCGACGGACGCAACGTCGAAGAACAATAACGTGGCGAACGGAGATGTTCCGCCGGTAATGAACGGTGCCGGAGACATAAAAGTTCAGCCGCAACTGGCGAAATGTTGTCTGCACATAACGGTAAATATTCGACGCGCCAGATTCGTATTATGTCATGGGAACATGTCCGGGTTACGCGAGCCGACTTTGACGAAAGTACCCTTTGTTACCTCGAATTCACGGGTGTTATCGTTACATCGTTGATCTGCGTGCTTGCCTTGACGCCGTGTGTCGATTCGTTTTCCAAAGGGAATGACCTGCGCTTCCTGTGTTGCTGCCATAGAGAAACACTGTAAAAAATTGTACGGCGTAAACAGCATCTTGGTGGCTTTGTTGGCTGCCAAGGCAGAGGTCGCGTTCGACCCGGAGAAAATAAGGGCGGTGGATATTGCCTCCAGCATATCCGAGTTGGGCTTCCCTACAACCTTGATCGAGGAACCGGGATCTGGCGAGGGAGAGATCGAATTGAACGTGAGTTTTTTTGGTTGATTTCATGGGACACCGAGCTATTCTATGGAATATGTGTTGTACCGTTCGTCGATTAGATTGCAGGCATGACCTGTGCATCTTGCGTGAATAAAATAGAATCGACTGTAAAGAAACTGCCAGGCGTTCGTTCGGCTGCAGTTGCGTTGTCGACGCAACGTGGCAAGTTCAAGTACGACGCGGATAAAACTGGTCTCAGGGATATCATCGAATGCATCAACCAGATAGGTTTCACAGCGACTGTAATTAGTAATAGAGATAAAGAGAACAGAGACTATTTGAACCACAGGTGAGCTCCGCGATCGGGACCACCCGTTCCTGCACGGTGCTTCCATTTTACATGTTTCTCTACGTGTTTCATGTTTTTACGCAGAGAAGAGATAAACAAGTGGAGGTCTGCTTTCCTGGTATCTTTAATATTCGGCATACCGTGCATGTTGGCCATGACGTACTTTATGGTGGTCATGTCTGTCGGCGAGAAGACGCACGAGGACATGTGCTGCGTGGTGCCGGGTCTTTCGTGGGAGAATTTGATTCTTTTTATATTTTCTACTCCGGTCCAGGTAATCGTCGATAATCTTCGAAAGAACGGCGAAATATTCTTTATCCGTCAACTAATAATATTTGCAGTTTTTCGGAGGCTGGCACTTCTACGTCCAAGCCTACAAAGTTCTGAAGCACGGTACGACGAACATGGATGTTCTAATTTCTATGACCACCACGATATCCTACCTGTATTCGGTCGCCGTTCTCGCCGCTGCGATGATCATGCAAGAGCACGTTAGTCCTCAAACGTTTTTCGACACTCCTCCGATGTTGTTGGTCTTCATCAGTTTAGGAAGATGGTTGGAACACGTCGCGAAGGTACTTTACGAGCAACGTATAGCTGTCACGTTATAACGAACAAATTTCTAACAAAGATACTATCGTTGCAGGGCAAAACATCCGAGGCATTGTCAAAGTTGTTGTCCTTGAAAGCAACGGATGCGGTGCTGGTTACCATAGGTCCGAACAACGAAATACTGTCGGAGCGTGTAATTAGCGTAGATCTGGTGCAGCGCGGAGACGTGTTGAAAGTAGTTCAAGGTGCCAAAGTCCCCGTCGACGGTCGAGTTCTCACGGGACACTCGACTTGCGACGAAAGTCTGATCACCGGGGAAAGCATGCCGGTGCCGAAGAAGAAGGGCTCGGTGGTGATCGGTGGATCGATCAATCAAAATGGACCCTTGTTAGTCACCGCAACGCACACCGGCGAGCACACGACGCTCGCACAAATCGTCCGTCTGGTCGAAGAGGCGCAAACCAATAAAGCGCCTATCCAGCACTTGGCCGATAAGATTGCGGGCTACTTCATACCCATGGTTATCGCCGTCTCCATAGTGACTCTAATTATTTGGATAATAGTAGGACATGTAAATATAGAGAAATTGCCGATATCGCACAACGATCACATCAACAAGCACGGCATGAACAGGGAAGAGATCATATTCCAGTACGCTTTTCGAAGCGCCCTATCCGTGTTGGCGATCGCCTGTCCGTGTGCGTTAGGTTTGGCCACACCGACCGCCGTTATGGTCGGCACCGGGGTCGGAGCTCTCAACGGCATACTGATCAAGGGTGCCGAGGCTTTGGAGAACGCGCACAAAATCAAATGTATTGTCTTCGATAAAACCGGCACAATTACGCACGGCATGCCGATGGTAACGAAAATAGGTCTGTTCGTGGACGAGAAAGACTGTTCGCTGGCGAAATTCCTAGTTATCGTTTGCACAGCCGAGACTAACAGCGAGCATCCGATCGCATCCGGTAAGCCCTCTTCGAGTAGACGTCTTTCTTTGTGTTTACACCAATTTTCCGCTACATTTTTGTTGCTCTTTTTCCAGCAATTGTCCGTTTCGTAAAAGATACGATCGGTTCCGAATCGACTGGACAGTGTTCAAACTTTCAAACGGTTGCCGGTTGCGGCCTCAAATGCAAGGTATCCCACATTTCGAACACGTTGTCCGAAGCTATCAAATCCGAGCAAATCGTCAACTATGTAAACCATACGAAAAAATTGTCTTCCGGATCGTACAATTTGAATAGCGTGCCGATCGACGTCGTGTCGATTTCGAGCACAACCCAAGAGAGACGGAACTTGAACTTGGAATTATTATTAAGCCCGGATTCGCACGGTGACCAAGCCGATAAGGAGGACCTGTACGAGATCTGCATCGGCAACAGGGAGTGGATGCGGCGAAACGGTGTGAATATACCACAGGAGGTAGAAACGCGGATGACTACCGAAGAAGAGTTAGGTCACACGGCAGTCTTGGCTGCAGTTAATAATGTTTTAGTGGCCATGATTAGCGTGGCCGACACGGTCAAGCCGGAAGCCCATCTGGCGATTTACACGCTGAAGAAAATGGGCTTAGAGGTGATACTTTTGACCGGCGATAACAGGAAGACCGCTGCTTCTATCGCCAGACAGGTAAAGAATATTATAATCTTCGACGTTATACAAATCAGTAATTAAAATGCATGCACTCTTGAAATGTACAGGTTGGTATCACCAGAGTCTTCGCAGAGGTGTTACCTTCGCATAAGGTAGCAAAAATTCAGCGACTGCAAGACCAAGGCTGGAGGGTTGCAATGGTAGGAGACGGTGTTAACGATAGTCCAGCTCTTGCACAATCGGATGTTGGCATCGCAATAGCTTCTGGCACGGATGTTGCCGTAGAAGCTGCGGACGTGGTCCTCATGAGGGTAAGCTCGTAATGTATACACTTAGTAAGCCATTTTTTAATAAAAAAAAAAAGAATTGGTGTTTAATGAGAAATAATGTATTAAATTTCCTGCAGAACGATCTTTTGGATGTGATCGCATGCTTGGATCTATCGAGGAAAACGGTTTGTCGGATAAGATCGAACTTCTTGTTCGCCAGTGTTTACAATTTATTGGGGATTCCAATAGCAGCTGGGATTTTCAGTTCTATCGGATTCTTTTTACAACCGTGGATGTCTTCGGCAGCCATGGCTTTAAGTTCCGTGTCCGTTGTTGGAAATTCTTTATTGCTAAAATTGTAAGAATGCCGACCGAAGTAAACGTTTTCCAAACTATAAAAAAGATTGAAGATTGACTTTTTAACGTTTGTTTACCAGGTATCGTAAACCAACAAAGGCTACACTAGAAACTGCAGAATATTTGACAGCAATGCGGGCCCATTCCACTGCGAGAATGCTCGACCTCGATACAATTTCCCTTCATCGCGGTTTGGATGATTCAGTAATGCCAATTATGCACAGGTCTGCCTCGACATTGTCCAGGTATGCAAACACGACTACTATGCTTTCAAAGTATGTACGAAATTATAATAATCCCACTGCTTGACGGAGTTACAGCGAAACAATTGTAACACCAACGTTGTTATCCCTTTAATTGTAATTAATAATAAGGTGGCGGCTTTATTTGATCTTCCTTGCTTGTTTTTCTTTTTCATTTTTATTCTCGACAGTGTACCAATATACTAACAAAGACCGTTAAAATATCGTTCGTTGATATATATTGCTAATACAAATTTGTATATAAAAGCACTAGCTTGATCGTAATGTAATTAACAATAGAGATAGCATATTTCCTATTGCTATTGGAATTTAAAATGTCTTGGGTGCAAATAAAACTGGCTGTGAACTTAAAAAATCTGCCTCTGTCCAAACGATATCTGTAACACGTAACAGAATTTTAATAGAAGATCGAATGGAAAAATTTATTCGTGAAAGAGGTAATGCTTTGAACAATGTACAATTTTGAAAGAATTATAAGTAATTTCGAGAAAAGACTTGTACAACAATGTTTCTAAAATCTTAACGAATTGTATATACTTGTATTAAATGCAAATAGATACTGTGATGTTAAAAAAAAAAGACACGATTACTCTTAATTAGTATTGTACGTCTATCTTGATTATTGTACAAAGAGATTTTGTAAATAAATACTAATAATTTTTTAAATAGATACATTACGTGCTAGACATGTGACCCCATCCTGAAGATAAGCATCCGTTTTGGTTGTTGGTTTGTATATTATTCTGCATGTCTATACAACATTTATTTCTCATTACACACGTATGCGTGGATTTGAAATGTTGTGATATTTCATAATATTACAACGTTCGACGAAGATGTTACTTAGAAAACCGCAGTTAATCTCATGAGTAATTTTCCTTGTATAGATTTTCATTTTTATACTATTTTGAACAGCGTGCCCGCTTTAATTTGCTTTCAGCTAGTAGTATTGGTGTGTAAAATAGGCTGTGACTAATTCAGCTATCAATTTTATAGCTAATGCAATGCATGAGAGATGTATTACCTCTCATAACATTTGTAACAAGTATTCAATGTGAAGATATATCTTTTTATTATGCCAATGTCATGATCCGAGTACATTTTTGTGTATAAATACATCATGTGCATAGCTTAACGAAACGTATAGAAAATATGGTATAGTTGCACAATATTTAAATGTTTAAACTAAACTGTCTTTTATGGTTAACAAGGTAATACATATTTAATATTCATCTACCTGCGCTTTAATCGTTCCATACTAAGTGTAACCATTATTTTCTATAATAACACTTTCATTACAGACTGTTCAGAAGATCTAAAGATGACGTAGAGGGTCGACTTCTCGGTGACGATGTAGACGAAATTGATTTAGCAACGGATTTCTCTGGCTATTGCAAAAACCCAAAGGATCGTACAAACATAACTCCTCTATAACTCGTAAGATACGGTTTTTTAAATATTTAACTTATATATCCAAATTTTCTTTGGCAATAATTTATGGACTCACATTTTTACATATACGGAGTGAATTAATAAGAACCGTTTCCTAAAATAATTCATCTCCTTCTGATTGTACCAAGAAATATTTTAAACAAATTATGCTATATTTTGTCACATCAAGTGTAATATAATTTATTTGAAACGTTCCTTGCTAACATTACGGAGAAAAAAGTTATTTTCGATAGCAAATCTTGTTAATTCAACCTGTACCGTAATTTTTGCAAGCAAAAAGTGTTACAAAAATCGTGAATGATACCTTTATACGGCAAAATGATTCATCACTTTTATATGAGCTGCGACATTACTAGTATTGTGATATTTTGTCTTTTGTTATTGAAAAAGACATTTCTTATAATTTTCTAGATTTCACTATACTTTTTGTACTTAACGGAAT